CTTTATTAACTCTTATGTCCATTGTATGTATAACTTTCCTGGTCAGTTTTGCGCTGAGTAACGCCCCACATAACTCTAATCTTGGTAATGAAATTGTCTTTAACGGAGCTACTCTTGATTTAGCACATAGTAGATGTACATGATATAACCCATCGTGACTCATTGACCGTACATAAATTGCGACCCCATATGCAACTTCTGATTCATCGCTGAAGCAGTGAAGTTCAATGTCTTTTGATTGTAAGCATAACACATGTCTTGGAATTTGTGTTTGGTGTAAATCTGAAATTGTTTCCTTAAATTTGTTCCAAGCGGTGTGAAGATCCTGAGGTAATGACTCATTCCAGTCCAATTTGAGCTTCCATAATGATTGCATAATTACCTTAGCTGTGATTATGACTGGTCCCACAAGACCCAAAGGGTCAAATATTTGAGAAATCATTGATAATACTGACCTTTTGGTTGTCTGAGATTGTATATTGAAATTAATATTGTACTGCAAGATGTCCGATTGAGTATTCCAGTACAACCCCAAAGTTTTACTAGTGATGTCTTCAGATAAATAATGCTCAACTTGTTGATTATTTTGTAAGTCCCCTTCAAATACTTCTGGTTTATTTGAAACCCATTTTCTGAGCTGAAATCCTGCTGAGCTCAAGATGGAACTGATGTCCTGTTTTAACTTCCTAACCTCTTCAATTGTGTCCCCCCCTGATAATAGACCATCTGCATAAAAATCCCTCAAAATAGTTTGGCAAGCTTCTTGTAAATTTGACATTTGTTCATATGCTGCTTGTTGTATACATCTTATTGCGAGAAAGGCTGATGGTGCTAAACCATATGTTATTGTGTTTAATTTGTATGTGTTTATAGGTTGGTCCGATGAAAATCTCCAAAAAATTCTTTGTAAATCCCTTTGTTTTGAAGCAATGAGAACTTGCCGATACATCTTTTCAATATCAGAAGCAATGACAACTTTATGTTTTCTAAACCGTAGCAAGATGTGTAATAAATCCTCCTGAAGCCTTGGTCCCACCATTAATACATCATTCAATGACATATTATTGTCTGTTTTAGCTGACCCATCGAAGACTACCCTAAGCTTGGTAGTAGTGGATGATGTTTTTAGTATCCCATGATGTGGTATATAATATTTTGGTGTATCTCCTTGTATCTGTAGCTCCCTGTCATCTATTTTTGTCATGTGTCCTAATGCTAAATATTCTTCCATGAATTTGTGATACTGCCCTCGCAAACTAGAATTGTTGTCCAGTTTCTTCTCCAAGTTTTGAAATCTCTTCATTGCTGTGCTGTAAGAATCCCCCAGTTTTGTAATATCTTCCCTAACTGGTAATTGTACTATATAACGCCCATGTAAATCCTTAGTTGTGGTTGATTTGAACAGTTCCTGGCAATATTTATCCTCTACTGATAAGGCCCTTTTATGTATGTCCAATTCTTCAATCTTCCAAAACTGTTCCATTTGTTCATTCAAGCTGAGTGCAGAAAAGTCACATGAAACCATACCCGAAAAATGTACCCCTTTGTCAATTGTTCTCACAGGCCCTGATACCACCCATCCCAATTTGGTTTTCTGAAGTATAGGATTGTCTTTTCCCAGTCTTATTTGCCCTACACATAGTAATTGCCAAAATATAGATCAACCTAACAATAATTCAACAGGTTTTGAAACTCCAAAAGAACTATCAGCTAATATAATGTTTTTTGGTATGTCAATCATGTCTAAATTAAGATTAAAAGCTGGTAAATGATCAGATATCTTATCTATAACTAACATAAATGCACTTACTTTATAACTACATGTTTTCGATTGTATTATACCTTTCATGGCCCGTGTAATTTTTGTAATACCCTGATTGATACCTGCCACTGGAATGTCTACCTTTTCCGTTGGGATATTGAGTTTTTCTAACAATGATTTACAAATAAAGTTTGATTGAGACCCAGAATCTAACAAGGCTCTGCATTCATGAAAGTTCCCAAAGTTGTCTTGCATGTAAACTAATGCTGTTGAAAGCAGAATCTCTGTTTTTGTATGAATTGAGTTGGTATGATTGCATTTGCTAACTTGTACCCTATCTTCTATAGTTTATAGTCCTTAGTCTTAACCTGTCCCCAAATACACTGAGTGAGGTACCCCATCACCTGAATCATGTTGCCCCTTAAAATTTGTGTTTTGTCCCTGTAAGTGTACCTCATGTGCCTGAATATGTGTAACTTGCCCTTGCTTATTTGGTTCTAGTGTTTGAGAATGTGTAAATTGTCCCTGTGAATGTATACCCTGAGTTTGATTATGTGTCCATGGTATTGGTGGTTGTGAACCTTGAATGTAATGTCATTTTGACCCTGTGGATGTGTTCTATCTCTGCCTTGTGTATTTCGTTCCCAATTGTGTTCATTGTGCCCTGATGAATGTGATGCATTTTCACTAGGATGTATTCTATCTTTGCCTTGTGTATTTCGTTCCCAGTTGTGTTCATTGTGCCCTGATGAATGTGAATCTAAATGTAGGAGTGTACTATGTTTCCTACCACAAATTTTGCAACCCTTCATTGTACAATTTTGAGCTGTATGACCTTCCCGTAAACAATTCCAACAACCCTTGACTTTATCAACTTCTGATCGTCTTACTGAGATAGATAATTTGTGAAATGATTTGCACCCATAAAGATAATGTGACTGCCCACAAAGATGACACTGTTTGTGTGACGTTAAAAATGTTTTTGAAAAAGGAGCCCTTTCATACTTACGTTTTGTATCAGAGGATGACTTGGGTTTGTCTTTATCTTCTTCTGAGTTTTCTAGGCTGTGTACCTTTTGATCTAAGAATGATAAAAAATCTGTGATTTTGAGAAACTCATTAAGTGGCCCTATTTTTTGCCATTCCCTTTTTGTGTTTTTATCCAATTTTTTTTCTAATATACAAATTAAAATAACATTCCATTGTTCTACTGAATAACCCAATGTCTTTAATGCCTTTAAATCTTTTTTAATTGAAGTAGAGAATTTTTTTAATTCGAATGAGGTTTCATTATTTATATGTGGATATTCATTTAACTTATCAATGTGACTGCGTGCTATTAACTTTTTGCGTTCATATATTTCACCTAATAAATGCCATGCAAAATTAAAATTTGTGTTTGTAGTTGGTAACTCATCCAATGCCCAACTGCCCTATCAACTAATGATTTTTTCAAATAGTGTAGTTTGTCTACATCAGTTAATTCTGAATTATTGATTATTAAACTTGTAAACCCATCCCTAAACTCTAACGAGCCATGAAATGAACCGTTAAATGTTGGTACCTCTAAAGGAGGTAGTTTTACATTTTTTGATGAAGCTTTCCCTGTGTCAGATTGTATATCTGATTGATTTGAAACAGAGTCAATTTTATTTAAAAACCCTTCTGCTATGCCAATTAATTCAAAATATAAATCTTGAAAATCTAATCTTTCATTTAGCTGTGAATCAAAATCAAAGTCACTATCAATGCCCTCGCTAGATGCAAACCTTTCAATGTTTTCTTGTACAGTATCAAAATCTCTCCACCACTCTCTACATTTTTCAATTCTACCTGGTAGCTGTGATGCATTAGCATCTGAATAATTATTTAAAAATGTTTGAAATCGTGTCATTTGAGCCTTAATTGTGCTCCTCTTTTTTTTTAAATTTGTGAGTTCTGCCATAATTTTTATTGAATTTATTACCTTTTTATACTATCTATTACAAGTAATATATGACCCAGAGATGTTTTAATAACTTAATAATAAAGGAACAAAAAATTGACACAGACTGATCATGTAAATTTGTTTAAATAATAGGTATGGAAATGATTTGTTTAAAAAGGATACTGTGTACTCACGTGGTGTTTTTATGTATGTATGTATATTGGTTTCTGGTTACCTTTGCCTCTTCACCATAAATTGTACTTCTATAATTGTGTATGTGTGAATATCGACTTCTGCGATTCCCAATGTGTGATAATATATTCCCTTTATAACTTCTAAAATGTGTTTTGCCGGAAAATGGCGTCCATTGTTTTGTCTAATAATCCATTAATTCGTCTCGAAGACCATGTTTTGTATTGGATTGCCGTAGTTTTGATATAAATTAAATCCGTTCGATTTTTGTGGACTGTATATTTTTCTAATTTACAAATAATACTGTATCCTAACTAACAAATAAAAAAAAACTCTAAAATTTCTAACGGTCTGTTTACGTCGCCATCGTGGATCTCTCTCTCCCGTCGTTGACACTTGCTCACGAGTCGGCGCGTGGATGCCGCGCACAAAGTCGGCTTTGCTACACTGTTCAATGTTCAGAGATTCGGTAGATATAAATGGATTAATTTTTATCAGTGACCTTGCTCGAGAAGTTGCAAAACACAAGTGACACTACCGTACCTATAACATCAGTGAAACGTAATAAAGCAGCTCGCTGTTGTTAAAGACTGTTGTCACGGGTATTAAAGATACCAAATAATAGATGGCAGCCCATATTTCAAAAGTGATAGGTTTTTATGATAATGTTCTGCACTTGCCCCGATAATTAGCCATGGAAAATACAGTTACCTTGTAGTAATAGGTTCCATCGTTCCAGTGACAGACAGGTAATAGGTTCCAGTAACCTATTACTTTTGTCACCTATTACCAGTAATCATAATATAATATGTATTTTTCAATAAAAAACGAATACTTTCTACTGTTTATAGTTTATTTTTGTTTAAACCGTGAGTGATAAACATTATGCATACGTTTGATGGTTGTTAAAAATAAACATTAAACATATACAGCTGACAGAAATTTAAAAATAGATGATTTAACTAATATACTGTACTATAAATCATAAAAAAAATATTATTGATATACATAACTTATATCTATATACACTTATATATATATATATATATATATATATATATTATATATATATATATATATATATATAAAGGCGAGAGGAAAAAATATTAGTGTATAAGATTATTCTATTAAATAACGGTTGGAATTTAAAAATAAAAGTTGTTCAGCTCGTTTGGTTGAAAGTCTCGTACGACGTTGTGTTATCATATTTCCTGCCTTTGAAAAGAGTCTTTCACAAGGTACCGATGTGGCTACTACACAAAAATGTTTTTTTACAATTTGCGCCAACAAAGGATAACAAAACTGATTTTGTTTCCACCATAGCAGGGGATTTTCTTTTCGATTAATGCATTCTTCATCTAAGTACCGATTTAGTTCTACTATAGCAGCGGAAGTTTTAGAACCTAAAATATAGATAGAAATAAAAAATCATGATATTAAATTTCACTTCATTCATTACATTGGGATAGGATGACTGTATATGTCGATACCGGCTGAAAACTATTCAGAAAACTATTTTAATTACCTGAAGGTTTCTTCTTAGATGTTATCATCTTGTCTAGATTGGTCCAAATAGAAAATTTTGGGTGCTTTTCCTCCTGCTGACTCTCACGTTGTTCTTCAGTTTCTGTGACCAAAGTACTTGCGGCTATCTGATACTTCTTACGCCATATGTCCGCCATCAGTTCAGTACAATAACTTTTTATACTTTCAGCTGCCATTTCATCGGTAAATACTGCTAGTTTAAAACGAGGATCCAATAAAGTCGCCAATGCTATAGTTTTGTTATTCTCAATATTAATTAACCTTGTTTTTAATCCTTTGAGTAGTTGATTAATTACAGAATTTGAAATGGTGCTTAAATCTTCATTTTTCATACTGTTGCAAACAGATGTTAAACCATTGGTGAATCCAATTACCTGGCTAGCAGTAAGAAAATTTTCTCCACTCATATTTCTGGTGACTTCTTCGAATGGTTCTAGAATCATGACCAGTTCAGAGCAAATCTTCCACTCGTCTTCACTGAGTACTGGAATATTTTTGTTTATTAAGGCAATTGTTGTTTTAACAGCATCCTTCAACTCAAAAATTCTCTGATTCATGAAGTACGTTGAGTTCCATCTTGTTGGTACCTCCTGAATTAATTTTTTGGGGTTCAGTCCCATGTTGGTTTGAACATCTCTTAACTTAGCAGTTGAAGTTGTGCTCCTTTTGAAAAAGGTAATAATACTTTTAATACGATCTGTTAAATTTTGAATAAGTTTTAATGCATCTTGCAAAATCAAATTAAGCGTATGAGCAAAACAACCAAAATGTTTCATTTTTAGCTCGTTAGTTATTGCTCCTATAATATTATTTGCATTATCAGACACAATTATTAGAATTTTGTCATTTAGGTGAAATTTATTTATTATTTTATTTATTTCTAAAGCTAAGTTTTGACTCGTATGGGAAGAGTTCATTACCGAACATTCCAGTAAAATAGATCTCAACTCAAAATCGTCTGATATATGATGAGAAGTTAGAGCCAAATAATTATCTACGTTCGTAGAAGTCCAATTATCTGTAGTTAAAGTTGCATTTGTTATTGATAACACTTCGTGTCTAACAGCATTCAAACATCTTTCATATTCTGCTGGTATCATGCAGCTGGAAATAGTTTTTCTGTTTGGCAGGACGTAGCTGGGATTAAGGGCAGTCACAAATTTTTTAAAACCCCTATCTTCAACAATTGAAAACGGCTGGTAGTCTTCAACAAATAAATTTAATAGAAGATTGTCCAATTTTTTTTGTGTTTCACTAATCTTATTTGGTTGTGAAATAAATGATCGAATACTTGGTTGATTTGTTGATAATTTACTAATCGAACTAGTGGAAGCGATATAGTCTATATTTACAATTTGCATTTCACTGTTACCATTTCTAGTACTGTTCGAAGTGGAAGGAACAATGACATCTACATTTGTGGATTCCTTTTCACCAGGTCGAGGTAAAGTAACAGTTGGATGTTTCCGTAATAAATGTTTCCTAAGATTTGAGACAGTAGTTTTATAGCTTTGCGATTGCCCACATAAATCACATGTAGCAATTTTATTCACATTATCAGTAATATTAAAGTAAGACCACAAATAACTTGTCTTTTGTTTTTTGCTCATTGTGATTTTAAACAAAACAAATAACCAAAAAAAAATAACCACTTACAATAAACTACTTAATATTATTAACATACACTATACAGGCACTTGCGAATTTATTTTTACATTAACTACAAACAACTACATTAGAATAGGAGCAAGCAAATTCTAATAATATACTAACAATAAACATAGTCTCCGTCTTAATAAATCGTACGTGCTTACATTGGTGTTCCCAGCTATCCTATTCTGTTACCTATTAAGCTACCGATTACCTATATTGTCACGTCAAAATACCAAATGCCGATTCGAATACCACTAATACCAGTGCGTTTTACGTTACAGTAACACTATGACAAAAGTAATAGGCAGTTTGCTGTAACCTATTATTTAGAAAACGAATACTTATTGGCAATAGTGTTATTTATCCGAATACGTTATATAACGCCCATCTTTACCGATAATGCACTTGCCCCATCTTACCTTACAGTCCTGTTTTTTTTTTTTAATTTTCCTTTTTTCACCATTCGACAATGCTTTGCTTTTAGATTTTTGGTTTACACCACTGCCGTTGCTGCAGGGGCTGTTCTTCGAAATGTGTATTGGTTTGGGCAGTCGGTACAATTTCTGGTCCGGTTATAGGACTTTCTTGAGCATCTTCGGCCATTGGTTCAATCTCTCGGTGTGTTAGACAACTAGGTGCAAAGGCAGCATCCGGAATAGCATTTGAATTGAATGGCCATATCCCAGTTGCTTCAAATCCAGAACAAATATTTTTTTGTATCATTGACTTTCTCCAAGCCGGCGTAAAGATTTGCCCAAATCTCGCTCGGTTGATGGTTCTTTCATTTTTATGGTTCACCCAAAAATTTAACACCTCTTTATTCCAGTACGACTCAAAACTTCTGAAAACTGCTTTATCGAAGGTTGGTTGAAGCTCTTGGGTGCTGTTGGACGGTAGACAAAACAGAGTTACATTTTTTTTATTGCAGCTTTTACAATTCTAATGTCTAAGTGGGATGAAGCTCCATAAAAAATTAAAAGGGCTGGTCCAGGATTTTTGAATCTGCAGAAGTGATCTAACCACTCTATAAATGCATCTGTTGTCATGCTTCCTTTCTTGGTCATTATAATTTTTGATTCTGCTAGAAGATTATAATACCATTCTGGCTTAACTTGTTTCCCTTTCATAATGATAAGTAGAGGAATGCTGTTGCCTACGCCGTTGCCACATCCTACGATTGTTACATTTTCGCGGTGCTCTGGTGCAACAATATGGACCCTTTTAGCACCTTTACTAGCCAACACAGTTTGTTGGTGATGCAGCGTAAGCTGGCATCCTTTTTCGTCTATGTTGTAAATTTGAGCAGGTTTTCCTGCGAAGCCCTTCTCATATAAAATCTGTCGAAGTTTGCCTTGAGAAAAACAATTTCATCCATTTTTTCCAGCTATCTCCTTTTTAACTGAGAATGGATGCCTTATTCCTGCCTCTTTTACAAAAGCATACACATTTTTTCGTAATGTTTTGGGGGTTAATGACATACCAACGTCACACAATCTTCCTATACGTCTAACCAATTCTTCTTCCTGGAGTTTTGTAAGTACTGGAAGCCGACCAAGTCGTTTTTGTGAACTGCCACTAGCTAGATGGTTACGTAACGTACGCCGAGGAATATTAAATATAAGTGCTGCCTTATAAACAGCCATGCCATCTAGTACGGCATTCATTGCAGCTTCAATGGCCTCTCCGGTCCACTGTGCCCTTTTCCTGGTGGACATATCTGCAAAGAAAAAATATTATAAGTCACTATGTACAGAAATATATGTAAAGTCCACCAGCTCTTAATAAAGCCAGTCCACTCCTAATGAGGCCAGTCAATTGGATTTATTAGGACACTGTCTCCTTTTTTTATTTAACATAAAAAAATAATAAAAAGCAATAAACGAAAAAACAGTTCCAGTTCCTTAAAAAGTATTAATTTACTATCGCTTTACAAAGAAAAAATAATTGGCATATATTCATTAAGTACCATTTTAGTAATTTTATAACTTACCTCAAATTATAAACGAACTTCGGCACCGTAACAAACAAGTGTCTAGTCTACTTGACGCTGCTATGTGATACTACCGACTGAATAGCGTGGACGATTTTGACTGAGAAAACGATTTACGGTGACCTCTAATATATAATATCTATATTTAAGAAAATATTTGCTATTGGCCTAATTAAGACACTGGCCTTAATTGGCGACACTACCTTATTAAAAAATAAGTTAATAGCATTTATACCTAAATTTTATACACACAAAAAAGGAGTTGTCAAGAAGGTAGATACTTTCTTTTCTAAAGAATATTTAAAATAAATGAAATGAGGTTGAATGCTCGAATAAATGAACTTTGAGAATAAGGCTATTATCGAGCACAAGTTAATTAAATCTAGCCCAAGTACTTTCGCTTAAAATAGCATCTTCAGGGGCATTTCGTCAAAATAAGAACTATCCGGCAAGCGTAGAATGTGGAAACATTAAAAATAACATAAATTATACAAAAACACTACACTAAACGAGGACAAACAGTTTAAAATTACTTCTACGCTACATTCTCTGTCAGTATCTGTAGATCTGTATCTGTATCAGTATCTGTATCTAGATACTGACAGAGATGTAGCGTAGAAGTAATTTTAAACTGTTTGTCCTCGTTTTAGTGTAGTGTTTTTGTATAATTTATGTTATTTTTAATGTTTCCACATTCTACGCTTGCCGGATAGTTCTTATTTTGACGAAATGCCCCTGAAGATGCTATTTTAAGCGAAAGTACTTGGGCTAGATTTAATTAACTTGTGCTCGATAATAGCCTTATTTTCAAAGTTTAAAGAATATTTATTAACTGCTATCAAATCAAACAACCAGGTATCAAGTGTCAATCGTATGATAAGGAAAATTATGGACTCTGATGGAAACGTAGTTTTGGTAAACAGACAAATGATAATAGTAGAATTTTTAGGAAATGAAATTCCAAATGTATACAATTTTTATGTTGACCTTACATACAACCCGTTGTACAGTGTTTCAAATGTCTGAGATATGGCCACTCACGTAGCTAGACAATGTAAATAAAAAATGAGAGATGCCAAAAGTGTACAGATAGGGTAATGGAACCAATCTTGGACACTTTAAGAAGCATACATTTTCTTTTTGTACTGGTAATTATTAATAATAAAGTAATTTTATTAACTTACATTCCTGCTTATTGTACAGACTTTCTTTAATCAGTACAGAAGTTCATTTTACCAAAATAAAAACAAAAACATAAAAAGATATATTTATTATTAATTAATGTTTTTTCTCCAGTAATGGACATCGATATTTTCAACCGATCCTAATTTGGACAGTTGCATACCCAGTTATGGATACTGTTTTTATATATGGATAGAGAGGTTCAATATTATGCAATAAATTTATTTGATCAAGAATAGGCCACTTTTGAGAAAAAATCTGAGACAGGTCGATTTTTATTTTTAAATCATGATTTTTCCATACATTGCTATAATAGTGACGTCATGAATTTGGGCGTGATGACGTAATCGATGATTTTTTTAAATAGGAATAAGGGTCGTGTGGTAGCTCATTTTAAGGGTTATTGAATTGTTTATTGAGTAATATAAACATTAACATCGTTATTTCTACAGGGTGGTCAAAAATACTTTGTGCAAATAATGATGTTAATGTTAATATAACTAAATAGAGAATTTCTTTCAAATAAAGAAACCTTTCAAATGGGATACCACTCGACCCCTATTTCCGTTAAAAAAATCATTGATTACGTCATCACGCCCAAATGGATGATGTCACTATTATGGCATATATGTCAAAAAATTATAATTTAAAAATAAAAATCGACCTCTCCAGAGATTTTTCTCCAAAGTGAATTATTCTTGAAAAAATGAATTTATTCCATAATTTTGAACCTTCTGTATATATATCTTTAATTAAATTGCCCCCAATATAATTTAAAGAAAAAAATAATAGATTAATATTCTCCAAAATTTAGCTGCAATTTTTACTTAAACTGGTATAATATAGGTAACTAACTGGATCTAATTAAAAAGTATAATTAACTAGTCCTCTTCTCATTCTGAACTCTCAGATGTGTCACTACTATCCACGGTAATTTTAGACTTTCACAGACAAACTCATCTTGATCTTCGGAAAGCAAGTCCTAAACTGTCAATATACTTTGAAAGGAGACAAATTTTGTGTACCTTATTTTCACAATGCGCACAACTATGCCACTTTGCCTTTTTTCCAAGAAATGTTGGTCTTTCCAGGCTGTATTACATTTGAAGCACTTCCAACTATTTTTTTTTATCTGACTCTTCCTTTTTAATTCCAGGCAGATTTTTTCCTTTCCTGCATTTTTTAAATTCTTTTCTTTTTCGATTGTCTGTCTTTTTCTTTTCACAGGTTTTCTTTTTTTTTGTTGCTCATTTAACCAATAGTCTGATGTAATGACTGAGCGTGGTCTTTCTTTAATTTGACGCTGTGATTTTACTTCGTCTTTAGACCAAAACAGATATTTATTAAATATGGAATCACCAGTTGGACTATTTGTTTTG